GGGGGTCTGGAGGTGGGTAAACTCACAACTAATGGACGCGGTGAGCATTGTAGTGGGGGACAGGGCACAGCTCAAATCATGGTTGGGATGTGGCAGAGTCATAACATGTAACCAAAATGTTTGTACCCCCTTAATTTTTTTTTTTAAAAAAACGTCAGATAGTAAATGCTAATTTTTATTGCAGTGAATATTATATGCAATATTTACTTCAAATAGAAATCTACATGAAGCTTTTACCAATACTATTATAATTCATATGAGATATTTTTCTCCATTTCCTTCATTCTCTTCTTTGCTTGAATGCACTGCAGCTTTGCTTCACATTTCTCTTTACAAAAGTGGTCACAACAGTGAATGTTTTGAGTCCCCAGAGTGGGCAGCTTGCCCTTTCTGACTCAATGTCTTCTGTATCATCTGTCAGTCTTCCTGGGCCTCTGCCATTGTGAGTTCACTCTTCCAAGTCCTTGAGAAGGTCTAAGGGATTGCTCTTCACGTTGCTAGCTAGGAAAAGAAGTGGGAATGAGAAAACAAGAGGAAGAAGGAAGTTAAGGAAGACAAGCCTGAAGAGGTATCTGGGTTATGAGAAAAATCAAAAGAAGAAAGAAGGCCAAGTGTCCATCAATCCAAGAATGGATTAATAAAATGTGGTACATGTATACCATGGAGTACTATTCAGCTCTAAGAACACAATGGTGATATAGCACATCTTATATTTTCCTGGTTAGAGCTGGAACCCATACTACTAAGTGAAGTATCCCAAGAATGGAAAAACAAGCACCACATATACTCACCAGCAAACTGGTATTAGCTGAGTAGCACCTAAGTGGACACATAGGTACTACAGTAACAAGGTTTCGGGGAGGGGGGAGGGAGGGGGGACGGGTATATACATATATAATGAGTGAAATGTGCACCATCTGAGGGATGGTCATGCTGGAGAATCAGACTTGTGGGGGGAGGGAGGAAAGGGCATTTATTGAAACCTTAAAATCTGTACCCCTATAATATGCTGAAATTAAAAAAAAAGAAGGCAAGCTCTGTACACCCGTGTGAAGCCTTTGAGACAAATACTTCTGGTTGACTGTGTTGTAAAGAGCAGATCCCAGGGGTGATAAGGGATGAGCATGAGAATCAACAACCTCAAGACTCCTCATGGAAACCGAGATTGGACTCAGTGAGAACACTTTCTGTGGGAGGTTGCTTCACTAATTTGCTGAAAAGAAATAAGAAGGGAACAGGACATTCTCATACTTGTTTAATCACCTCTAAGATATGCTTTTGTTCCACATTTGGACTCCACAGAGTTCCTTTGATATTGAAATCTGTTCCAGGCTTCATTGTTAAAAAAAAAAAAAAAGAACATTTGTATACATTAGTGATCTCATTAATTTAAATACAGAAAGCTGAGACCTGAGAATGAGAATAAATTATAGACTAGTCATAAAGTCTTCATTTTTCACTGTGCCATACCAATGACCTAGTAGCCTTTAGAATTGAGGGATGATATTCAAGTTTGAAAGATTGATTATAGATTGATTGTGAGAAAAAACAAAGCTTCCCCTGCCCCATCGCAAAGAGAGGCCCCAGCATATAATATAAAGAACACAGAGCTAGGCAGAAATCTTCTTTGAATCTCTGATTTCTACTTATTATGTGGTTTGAATAAATTACAAAAAAATTACTTGAATTTCTTTAAAGTTCTTGGTTGTTTCATCTGGGTTAACCATAGTTAATGCCATATCTCTAATATGTAGGATAGACTAGAAAGTTAGCTTAACCATAACTTGATCAAAGACATCAGCAAATGCCTTAAAGGCTTATCATTTTACATGACACTATAAATAATTGAGATTCCATGACTGGCATTTTAAAAATTGGTTTATTCTATTTTCCACAATTTTGACTATAATACAGGCAAGCTCAACTTATTTCCCATCACCCGATTTAAAATGCTCTTTTCACTGTCACTGTGAATAAAACTGATAACTTCCATTTGCTATGTGACCAAATATTTGTTTGATGAAGGTCATATACACCGAGTAGGCCCATTGGCCTTCAACTATCTCTTCTATTGACCTGAAAGAATGTCGGAAATTCTACTTGCAGAGATGATAGTTTGGGTTAAAGCTGTTTCGATGATATGTTCAAAATTTTTGGAAAGAAAACGTGTAAGGGTATAATCAGACAATGATTATGTCGCAAAGTAGTTGAGTAATTCATTCAAAAAATGTATATAGAATACAGTGTCTGTCTGTAAGACCCTGCCGGGTTGGGGTGTTAGAGTTAGAGTAAAAGCAAGCACCCTCTTTGCTTTCTGGAGCTTATGCTTTTCTGGAGGAGACAGATACTCAAACAATTCTGCTAGTAAGTGTATGATACACCAACATAAGTTTTCAGAAGAGAAAGAGTCTTGTTTTACAAAGAAAAGTGGCCTAGACCTTGGGGTTAGGGAAAGTTTTCTTGAGATAGTGACCCTGAAACTGAGAACGGAAAAATGAGGAAATAATTTGGCCCCAAGGAGGAAAGGAAAGGACCAGAAGAAAAGAGACAAATATGTCTAGAGGCCCTTTAGTGGGAGAAAGTATTGCATGTTGGAGTAAAGAGAGAAAACCAGAAGCTCAGAGACAGAAAAAAAAACAACCAACCACCATTGGCGGTTGAGGTTGGGGAGGGAAAGTTACCCAAAAAAAAATCTACATTTACATAACGTTTAAGAAAATCAAGACTTACCTACCTTTTGACATATAGAAGGCATTGATTTTAAGTGATATACATCAATTACTCCATTTAGTTTTTGCAAGAGCTGCTACAAGTTAAGTGTTACTGTTATCCTCATTTTGGGAGATTAAAAAACTGAGGCACAGAGACATCAAAATGTTGTTGATATTAAGGTAGATCTAATAAGGGGGGGAAGTAAGAGTTTTTCTGGTGGTTTCTTTTTTCTCAGTGAACAAGAAAGCAAGATGATCAGATGAGAGGAAGGAAGAGGAGACTTAGAACTTGAGGAGAGAAGAAACTGTAAATAGTCAATTAAGATAGTTAGAGAGTGAATGAAACAGGAAATAAGATGCTGGTCAGCACAGATTCATTTAATACTCCTACTATCCCTATGAGGTAGATATTATTATACCCATTTTATAGGTGAGAAAACAGAAGCATAGAAATGTTGCACATCTTACTCAAAGCCACAGCGTTAGTAAGTGGCAAGGAATTTACCTTTTGGGGCTTTAAAGCCACGTGAGTCTTTATCCTAACACCCATTAAAAACTACTGAAGCATTTTGAACAGGCACACGACATAATCAGGTTTGCGTATTGAAAAGATCACACTTTTTAGAATGTAGCCAAAGAGAGCCCATGGTTAGTTGGACTAGGATGGAAGCAGAAAAGCTGGTGAGAAGTGGATAGGATACGTCTTGGAGGTAAAATAAGAATATTTAGTGATGGATTGATTATGGAGGGTACCAACGATGATACTGACTTTCAGATTTGCAATGCTGAATGGATGCTGGCATCATTATAGCTAATGATGAGTTACAGAGTTGGGGGGATACAGAGTTGGGGGAAAAGCACTTTAAGTCTTGTATGGATTGATTTTAGGGGGTCTTTGAGCTCCTCTAATGAAGACATTGAGTAGAAACTTGGCTGTAAAGGTTTGTTGTGCAGATGGCTGGAAATATAAAATATGAGGCATAATATAGTGATCATTAAACCATAACTGAAGATGAGATGGCTTTGGAATGAGCATGAGTTACAGGGAAAAGAGGGTGTAGGATAAATACCTTGACACCAACCAAAATTTAAAGGCTGCATGTAAGAGGATATGCCTACAAGTTGCCCAAGACCCAGAAAGATAATAAGAAGACTGTTGTATTAGGGAGTTAAATAGAATATTTCAAGGGGGAGGATGTGGTCAACAGTGGCAAATGTTGCTGAGAGGGCAAGTAAGATGAGGAATCAAAGTATCTGTCGGATATAGAACTGGTGAAATTGTTGGAGATATTATTCAGCTATTTCAGTAGAATAATGAAGGCAGAGACTAGAATTGGGATGTGTTAGATAAGTTGGAGGTAAGAAAATTGGCACAAGAAGTCCAGATAAACCTTGAAGTTTGGCTGAAAGGGGAATGGGAACAGGTGAGAGCAGTAACGTGTGGGATCTAGAACTGAGGGTAGGATTTTTCAAAAGGGAGATACTTGAGATCGTTTAAATATCAAAAGGAAGCTTCCAGTTGACATAGAGGGGGTCAGTATATGTGAATATTAAATAGATATTGCGAGATAGGAGAGGGGCTAGATTCCCAAATGCAGATAAAGGGATTATAATGGCAGCAGGATACTTCTTCTAAAGTAAGAGAACACAGACATACAGTTAGGTTTGTCCAGGTCTTTTGCATGTTTGCCTGTTAGTATTTTCTCTTTAGGATTGACTTGAAGGAGTGCTATACTATTCTATACTCCCACCTTTTATTATATATGTTGCATACATTTCTGGAATTTTTATCTTTCAATTTTAATAATATGTGATTTATGACATATATAAATTGTCAACATTTCTCTTTTGTTTGCTTTATCAAATGTTCCTTCATGGCTTTTACAGGGGGTATTCTGCATAACAAGAATTTCATTTTCTTCGACAAAAATATATATAAACCTCCTTCAATAACTTTTTCTAAGACATTCTTGATAGTTTTCACTTTTGAACTTTTAATGCATCTGGAATCATATTTATACTAGACATGAAGTAGAAATCTATGCCCAGCCCACCTCTACCATCAGCACCTTGATTCTTGTCTTTAATTAGTACACAGTGTCCTACCTCCAGGTTTTAGCCTTAAGCACCTAAGACATTGTGTGACTTTGTTAAGGAACACTTCCTTGTGCTGGATCAAAACCGCCTGTCTATCTGTTAGGTCCTCATCCTTGCAGTGGAGAAAAAGAAGAAGAAAGGTGCACATCTTCTCTCTAGCACTCGTGTCTTCTTCCACCTGAATCATTCAGAATGTTTTCTGGGTGTATGTTTTTGATGATATTACTCATTTCTCAGATTGAAGGTATGTCTTACTTTTTTTTTTTTATCATGGTTTTCATGTTATGAGGTTCATATCTCTTTAGTCACAAACTTTAAATTGTAAGTGATAAAAACAATAACATCACAACTAATGTGATAGCACATAAACAGAAGTTATTGGTGATTTTTCTGAGCACATAGCCTAGAACTTGGACTAGGTTATGACTAATCATGACATTCTATGAGTCTACGTAATGCCATATCATTCTTAAACACTTCAGATCCATGGCAAAAAAGGAGGGGACATGTACCCGAATACTTACAACATAGCAGGCACTGTGCTAGTCATTAGCCACTGGTATGTTAGAATGTTTAAAGTTCAATATTAATTTCTTCACTTTATGGATAAGGAAAATGAGACTAATATTTACAAATCAGAGAGATTATGTACGCTGCGCATGGTCACACAGCTAATGAACTGGTAAAACCTTGATTCGAATCAGAGCATATTCTAAAAAGCCCATGCCCTCTCCTCTTTATTGCTCTTTTAAAAAACACACCTTAATTAAGCAGGGCTCACCTCGCAGATGACTACCAAGGTGCTAGGACATGAATACAAGATTATGTTTAGCACTGACTCAGGGCTACCTAAAACTCTCTGACAAGTAAAAGCCTTATACTTGGGAGGGAGGTAAAACTTCAAATGCAAATATCCCTGCAAGACCAAATTCAGTAATTTACATTGAAACAGGCTTTGACAGGAGGCAGAATCCAGAGACAGGCATACAGAAAAACGAGAAGACAAAGATGACAACTGCAGAACAAGGCGAAAATGTGGAAGATGCTGAGGAACCCTGATTTCTTTGCCTCCTTTCCAATTTTGCTTACATTTTCCTGATTTTCAAATATCAGTCTCAATGTCTTTGCATATGAAGTGGGAATATTTCATAGGGTTGCTATACACGGCTGCTAACTGGGGCAAGTGAACTGTATGAGAAAAATTCTCTCTTACAATCACAGTGGATGAGTGTTAATGTCAAATGGATTTTTCTCCTCCTGTTTCCATGCAGAAAAGATCATCCTTGGAGTACAGGGTCAAGAACTGGTTCGTCCTAAAAAGCTTCCTCTGATCCATAAGCGAGATGTTGGACACACCCATGGTGATGACATACAGGTACAGGTTTTGATTTAATAAATAAGATTTCTTTGCCTTCACAGGCATGTAGAAAGCTATCTCTGGCCCCAACCAGGAGCAGGTAGGAAGAGAAGAGTCTCATAGAGAACAAAAAGGACTAAAGTTCAGGATTTAGGGATACCATTTTGAATTTTCCAGTTTACAGAGGAGTTTCACCAATAGCTTTCCAGGCTGACTTAAAAGAACCTCATTTGTTCTGAGCTGGTGCCTGTGCAATGCTCTCTTAAGCATGTTGCTTTCCCTGAGATCTCATAGGCAGGTTTATTTGCTTTATGGAGTCTGCAGCAAAGTTGGACAACTTTCACAGGAACAAAAAGGCACACTTGACCAGTTGCTCTTAAGGGTCTTTATTCAGGTGTTAAAATTAAAAATATTTAAAATATTATTTTCAAAAGTAATGAATGTGTATTCTAAAAAATAGATATACATAAGAGGGAACAAGCTTAAAAATCAGGCTATTTTCAATGCCTGCTATTACAAAACAAAGTAGATGAATGTCTTCAGATATTTATGTCAGTAGGCACTTGCATTTTAAGCCTTGGGTTCTTAACTTGCAATCAAAACAGCCCTAACTAATGCACATCTGTTATTCATCAAATACAAAACTGCCCTCTCCCTGCCTCATGGCTGCCCCTCCTGAGACCCTCCTGGCAGGAGTGAAACAGTTAAACAAGTACATCAGAAACCTGGGCTCTTTCTTGAGCCATTTACCTCTCCCATCAAATAATCATTGAGCCTTACAGATTCCAGCATGTAAATATCTTTTGAAATTATCTATCCCTTTTCTGCCCCTGCTCAAATCACCTGCATTCATTAACAGCCTTCAAATGGTTTTCCTGTCTATAATACTGGTTTTTGTTCACCTGCTATCAATGTTAAGTAAGCCTTCTAAAATGCCATGCTTATCTCTGCATGTTTCTGCCTAGACCCTTTGTTCTCTTTGCTCTTAGGATAAGGTCCAAATCCTTGACTTGCTAGGCTGTGCATTCATCTCCTTCCTACCTTTTAATCTCATTTCTATTCAATATACACTTGGTTTTCCAGCAACATTGAACTTCTCTCTGTTCCTCAAATATGTCAAACTGTTTCCTACCTCAGGGCCTTGCCATGTGCTGTGTGTTTCCTTCCCCTAACTCTTCCTTTCAATATCCCTGACACAGTCCTTGTTTTTCTATTACAAGGCTTATCACACTCAATTGCATGTGTTTTGTTTTCCCTTTTTCTTCTTTGTCAAGCTGGGGCTTCTATGAGGGCTGGAACCTCCAACTCATACTGCATTGTATTTTCCATATTATTCCTGTGCCTGAAATAGCAGCTGTTGGATAAATGAATGAACGATAAGCTCAAAGAAATGTGCAAAACATATGACCAAGAATTGTGAACCTTAAATTATAAAGAACTTTTATGAATCATAAATAAAATACCACAAAAGAAAATGGTGAAAGAACATGAATCAGAAATTCACATGAAAACTACAAATAACTAAACAAAAGAAAAATATAAATGCCAGTGGTCACTTATCACAATAAGTTATCATTTCATTGTCTGCAAGATTTTTATTAATGATAAAATCTATTACTGGCGAGAAGTACATGAAACAGAAACTGCTATCAATTGATGGCGAAGTTGTAAATTTGTAAATTTGTACTTCTTTTCTTAGGGATATTTTGGTAATATTTATCAAAAGTCTTAAATCTTTTCCATGTCATTGACAATGCAATTCTGCTTAACTACAGTGGAATACCCCAAACAAAATTTTTATAATATAGATTATACAATGTTTCATTCACATGGTGCTTTGCAGCCATAAAATGCATGTTATAAAAGTACATTTATTAAAATAGGAAATGGTCATAATTTATTGTTAAAAAATAGACTATAAAAATAGACTGTACATACAAAATTGTTGGAAAATACATAAACAGAAGATCTGTGTAGGGGCTGCTGCATGGCATGTACTAATTGGTGTACATGCACCATGTACTAATGGGCATGTACTAATTGGTGTACAATACTAATTGGCGTATCCCCAGATGAGGGAAGAATATGCATTTTCCATTTTATTTTATTTTATAACTAGAAAAGAAAGCCCCTTAAAATTTTCCATTAAAAATAACTTGAGTTACATCCTCCTGATAACATTAGCTCTCTCCCAATTCATCTTTGTTACCATTTATCATTTTGGCTGGAAGGCCTGCAGGGTGAACTGCGGGAGGCAGGGACCCCCCAGGCCCTGCTCATCCCATCACTTAGTACCTAAGCACATGTTTAAGTCACATGATGGATCTTGTTTTTCAGGAGAAATACGAAGAAGAATTGATGTATGAAATAAAACTAAATAGAAAAACCTTAATACTTCATCTTCTAAGGTCAAGGTAAGTTCTACTGTGATTCAATACCTTGTAGATTTATTAGTCTATGGTGTCCCTGGTTTTGTAAAAACTGCCAGTGAAATGAATTCCTCAAGTCAGTGGTGAATCTTTGTAGGCCAACAATGTCGAATCAGATTGTTCCTTAATCCAGTGCAAACACTGGTTTTGAAAATCATAAAGACTGGGTTTCTAGCAAAGCTTTAGCTGTCCTCAACAAGGCAGATTTCAGCCTGAAAAAGTTGTAAAAATAGGAAACTCACCTTGTGCTGTTCATCCTTCCAGAGTCCACCTGCTTTTGCTCAGTAATCAGATCCTTCAGGTAGTTGCTTTTTTGTGTGTTGTTCAGAACTAAATTATTAGATACACAACGGTGGTCTGGTGGTAGCTTATTCAGTCATAGCAGGACTAAATTCTGTAGTTAGTTCATTTTGAACATTAGTTCAGCATTTATTTATTGAACACTGCCAATATTTATTAAACACTGTCTTAGGAAGCAGAGGGACACAAATAAAAGGGGAAAAAGTTCCTTTCCTAAAGGGGTTCACAGGTAACCTTGAAGATTGACGTGATACATCAGGAGTGAGCAAATGATAGTTGGTGGGCCAAATTGGACAGGTTTTCTATTTATGTATACCCCTCAGCCTAAGGGAAAATTTTCAAATTTTGAATATTTATAGTAAAAACAAACAAAAAACCAAACAAAAACAAAAACTCTGAATAGAGACCATTATGTGGCTCACAGAGCCTAAAATGTTCATTATCTTGGTCTTTATGGAAAAGGTTTGATGACCCCATAATACATGATAGAAATGTGATAACATGAAAATGAAGATCTCTGGAAGTGTGAAATACACATAGTGGATGGAATCTCAAAATCTGCTTGATGGAGTCAGAAAGAGTATTTTGAACTGGTTTTGAAGCACTTCTAGAATTTGGTCATGTTGAGGGTGGGATTAAGAAGTGGCCAGCAGTAGTCCAAAGGGGTATTAAAGAAAAAAGTTATTCAAGGTATTTTTTAAAGCACAGTAAAGCAGATTTTATTCAGAACCATCACAATAAATATAGGGACCACTACAAGGGGTGGGGTCTTTCGGGGGGCGGGGATAGAGATTGGGCTCAAGTCTAAGTACAGTATGGGCTTGTGGGAATTTATTATACTTAATACATATGGCTCTTATCTGTGTAGCTGTTAGGTTACTATATATTAAGATATATTCATCACATATATCTCATATTTTTTGCATTAATTTAGACTCAGATTTTTGATTTATATAACATTCTCTCTGAGTTCTTTTTACAATGCTACTTTGCTAAAATTGCCAGATTTTTGTTTGTTTTATAAAACATGTCTTTATAAAACCATGAAATTTAGGTAGAAAGGCTTTTCCTATGAGTGGGCTTGATTTTGCTTTTCTATTTTTAGAAGAAGAGGACCCTGCTGAGATTTGAAAGCACCCTGAAGGCTTCTCTACCACATGATTGGTTTTATCTGCTAGATTTTTAGAATGCATAAATTTTACTACCTCTCTGCCCTCTTTTTCAGGGAGTTCTTAGCCTCAAATTACAGTGAAACGTACTACTCCATAAGAGGAGAAGCACTCACCAGGCATCCTCAGATCATGGTATCCTATGGAGCTTTCCTATGTCTCTTCTCTAAAACTATTATTTCCTAATATGATTTTGAAACCAATTCTAGCTTTACAAGCTGCTCTAGAAAGTGCTACATCAGAAATAAATCCTGAATTGACTATTTACACTGAATGATCCCAAAATAGAAAATATGACCCAGTGAACCCTAAAGGAAGCTGATTGCTGCCTAACAAGGAAATCAATGACTACTGATGTATCTTTATTTACTAAACTGACTCCTATACACTCAAATGGTGTTGAGTCTGGGAGAAGGTTTAAGCAGGACTCCAACGAAGTATAAGGAGTCCTCATGAGATTGTGATCAATACTAAATGGATAAAATCCAAAGATATGAAATAACTTTAAAATATCCATTGCACTGATCCTTATGTGATTCTCACCCCCTTGCCCAGTCCTTCTGAGGCACCAACGTTGAGGTCTCTTATTCATTTTCCAAATAAATCTTCGCTCATTCATCATTAATATTATTCTAGTAGACACAGATTCTACTTCATGCCCTCATTCCCCTTTCCAGAAGATGCCCTCAGTAGCCTTCTAACCACAAACAACATCACTCTTTCCTACCAAAAGTATAATTTCAAAAAGCAACTATTAGCTTCTCTAACAGCCACGTCTTCATGCAATCTTGCAAAATAAGGCAGAAAGAAAAATTGGTAACATTCTTCTATGCAGGGGTTGGTTATTGATCTATAATGTTATGAGCTCCTTGAAGGGCCATGAAAAGTGTCACCGAAAGGCAGGAGTTGAACAGAGAGAAATGATGGGAAAGATGATTACTTGATGGGATTACCATGGGCAAGACATCAAGCAGGGAGTAATAAAGATACCAACTTGATTGAGGCAGAGAGGAAAGAGAGAGAGTTATGAGGGGAACTGTTTGGAGAGTGAGACCTACTTTTAGCAATAATCAAGGATTTGGCTTGGTTTCATAGGCAACCAGGAAGGCAACCACAGAAGGGTCAGTGTGGTAAAGATTTTAGGATGGGTTAAAGTAGTAATATTTCTAAGAAAAAAGGTCACATTTCTAAAACTGGTGCCATCACCTAATAGATGATTAAGTTTGTAGAGGCAGAATCCATACATCGCTTTACACAAAGTGATCACACAATTAAAACCAAAGGTCTCTAAAGCAGGCTCAAATATTTCTAAATGAAAGAGTGTAACAAATGAATACATGAACAAATATGAAATATAATTTGTCAGAATGAAATACAGTATCTAAATATTTTTAGTTCTGAATAGATCAGTATGATCAGTTAGATCAGTATCTAAAATATTTAGATACTAATATTTACATAATATCCATATTTATGAATGTGTTCATAGAGTCTTCTCCTATTTTAGGAACACTGTTTTTACCAGGGAACCATCACACACGAATATGACTCTGCGGCCAGCATCAGCACGTGTAACGGTCTCAGGTAATGCAGCACATCTTCCTTCTTCCTTTATGAGTTTCCCTGTGGATTTTCACAGACAATTCACTTCACTTATTTCTTTTTATCCATACTGGTAAATAGCAAGATTTATGGGAAAAAGAGCTACTGGATGTTTTCAACAGTGAGCATCAGCCCTAGCCTAGGATTTATGTTTTCACAAAAAGATGTCTAATGCACAGTCCTAAAGACAAGTGTTGCAGTTATGTGAGCAAGGGATTCAGAGCTGGGAGATTAATGGAAGTCATCTAGCCCATCCTCTCATGTGACAGACCACAATGCTGAAATCAGAGACTTGCTTGCAAACGTTCAGTTTGCTGGTGGTAGAACAGAGTCCAAAATCCAGATCTCTTGACTGCTACTTCTGTGAATTCCCACTATGCATAATGCTTCATTCGTTTAGCTTTTTAGTAAATCAGCCTGTTGTCCAGTCTCTGGAAAGTAACAAGTCAGGAAAAAGCCCATAGTTCTTTAGAGTCCTGCCTGGGCTCTAGGACAAAGGAGAATGTGGAGGGGTAAAGGGTAGAAGAACAAGGAATTCTTTCTTCATTTGTGGGGAATTTACTCAAATAGTTCCCAGTATTTTCAAGAATGAGAACTCCTTTAATGACAAAATTACCATATAGGAATATTTTTATTTTCATATATTAATATTTACTCTACATTTAATGCATGATAGACAGAGAAATTCACAAAATTTGGGGAGAAAAAATAAAAGATGCCAGCAATCCATATCCACAGGTAGGAATTGCTACTCTACTTATATGCAAAGCAGAGATTGGACTGTGAAACTTCTCCTGAAAATCCAAATAAGCTGAGGCTTTGAAAAAGTTATTCATTCAGTCAAAGGCCACATGTCATCTCACGTCCACCCAAAGCACCTGGCAGCTGCGTGCTCATGAGGCAATGGCTATGTAGTTTCCCTTCCTTGAAAAGGCAAAGTCAGTAAAATGAAATAGAGTGCTTGAAGATCTTTTCTTTTCCAGCATATTATGGGGGTACAAATTTTAAGGTTTCAATAAATGCCCTTTCCCCCATCCCCCCACAAGTCTCAGTTTCCAACATGACCATCCCCCAGATGGTGCACATCTCACTCATTATGTATGTATATACCCACCCCCTTCCCTCCCCCCTGCCCAATACCCTATTACTGTAGTACCTGTGTGTCCACTTAGGTGCTGCTCAGTTAATAACAATTTGCTGGTGAGTACATGTGGTGCTTGTTTTTCCATTCTTGGGATACTTCACTTAGTAGTATGGGTTCCAGCTCTAACCAGGAAAATATAAGATGTGCTATATCACTGTTGTTTCTTAGAGCTGAATAGTACTCCATGGTATACATATACCACATTTTATTAATCCATTCTTGGATTGATGGGCACTTGGGCTGTTTCCACAGCCTTGCAATTGTGAATTGTGCTGCTATAAACATTCGAGTGCAGGTGTCTTTTTTGTAGAGTGTCATTGGATCTTTTGGGTAGATGCCCAGCAATGGGATTGCTGGATCAAATGGTAGATTGAATACATGCTATGTTCCCAATTTCTACAGGGGATTTTTCAGAGTGTCTGACCAAAGGTACCTCATTGAACCAGTGAAATACTCAGATGAGGGAGAACATTTAGTGTTTAAATATAACCCGAGGGTGCCATATACTGCCAATTACTCTTGTTCAGAGCTTAACTTCACCGGGAAAACAGTTTCAAGTGATACTATACATAAAGAAGACTCCCAAACAAAAGTGAGTACTTTGTCATTAAATATTCTTTACCCCAAGTAAAACATAATCTTGAGGGAGAGATTATGAGCCCAGCTAATGAAAGATATGTGCCACCCTGAGTTTGATACTTCATTGTCTGAAATTTGAAATTCAGATTTTTGTTTTTGTTATCTACATAGAAAGTCTTTATTCCCAAGAGTAAATCTCAGTTTGTTCCATCAATTTGAAGAAACAGGAATGTCTACAGCCCTACATGTAGATTGACAACACTGAGTCTGTAAGTAGCTGGAAAGAATGAGATTTGCAATGTCCTGAACCCCATCCTAGACATTGTCTTTCTTTGTGTCCCTGCCATTTTGGGGGGATTGTTGATGACAAGATAAGTCCTCCCACTCTCATCAGGCCAAATATTTTAATGATTAAGGACAATTAAGGGTAAGATAAAAAGAAGTCAATTTTTGGTGGTCTGGTGTTTTTATACACAACTAGTTCATATCCTCTTAAATCCCCACTGGATGTTAACCTGTAAACTACATGATTGTTTATCTACTTCTCACATCCATGATCCATACAGTGTCTGAAACATTGTTATATGCCTAACAGATGTTTCTTGATCCAATAAATCAACAAATAAATGATTATGCAGTCCACAAAAGTGTTAAAAGTCAAATCTTTTAACACTATACCTCAGGTTTGTTCTCAGAGAATTTGGATGAACCTTGGTGCACATATACTGAAAGCTGACAAATTAGAAGAATTTCCTGGTATCAATGTTATATAAAAATAAAGGATCTATGATTACAACATTTATTCATGTTTCCTTTCAGTTGAGGCTACTGCAAATTAGAAGGTTGGGAGGCAGAGGCAGAAGTAGAATGAATACAGTCAGTTCTATTAGTCAGTCCTGTGTTTTAGCTCTCAGCTATAGATGGGTGCTTTTCACCTGAGCTTACTTATGAAGCATTTACTTTGTAAATGAAAAAATAAACCCTAAACATTAAAGTCTGGATTCATGATTATGTATAACTCTTATTTGACCTGAAAGACTAAACAAAGAAAGAAAGTATAGTCAAATATGAAATGTTGCTCCAGGATCATTAAAACCTGATATGTAGGGCAACATGTTTAATCATATAGTGGATCTCAGTTAGATAAATTAATATCATTAATCAATATACTCATGCGCCTCACCTTTTGGTATCCATAATATGAACATTTCTCACCTTGAAAATGTTAGATGTTTTTCAACTTAAAATGGTAAGATAAAAAATATTAACCTCACTTCACTGAATTTTCTGTAAATTGACAGAACATCCATAATGAAAAGTATGTTGAACTGTTCATTGTGGCCGATGATAACGTGGTAAGTTTTCAGATGAATCTTTCGCTCTTCATTCATCCTTATAAAACCGTAGTTGTGACTCTAACATCAAGGAGAAAAGTGCCCTAGTCAGAGTTCCATTATGGGGTCAAAGTTCTGTTTTTAGCCTCCCCAAACAGATGTGTATGTAAGAGGCTATTGGACTCTTTGGCAGTATAGCAGGCTAATTCAAAACAGAGCCCCCCTCCCCATGATGAACTTATGGAAATACTGAACAACGCATAAGAAACTGAAAACATGCTAGCCATCTATAGTTGAGCTCAAAAGGAAACACTGAAAATCTCTGAGGAGTAAAAATGAAGAAGAAAATCTCTGTCAGGACAGTAAGTAAAATGCAAGGGCTTGGTGACCCACAAGGTGTACAGATAGAAGGAGTTGAGGAATTAAACCTCCTGAGAAACAAAAGACTTAAATTTGGAAATGAGTGTCATCAGATAATAGAAACCAAGATGGTAGGAGATGTCTGTCTAAAAGTGAAAATGATCAACGTTCAATGTAGACAATCAGAAAGGAAAAAACACTCAATGCGTTTGATAGTTAAAAGGACATTTGTGGGCTGTCAAGAAGAGTTTCAGTAAAACGGTGGCACTTATAATCACAGTATAGTAAGTTGAGTAGGTGTGAGATGAAAACTGAAGATATTCTAATGCTCTATCTTAGAGGTATTTAGATATTTAAGACAATGGAAGAACGATGGAATGGTAACAAGTGGATATTTTCAGAATCCAAGAAAAGCATACTTATTTTTGGTTTTTACTATGAAAGAAGTTTGATCGGTTGCATTTATCCTGACAGGATACCTAATGTTGTTATGAAGTATATTTTATCATGTCTAAATTGATAATTGATCACAAGGTCCTGATAGTACAAGAAGGGAATTCGGCTGTAAGAAGAGAACAAAAGTCGGAATAGGCTGGAACAGGAAAGTAGTAGACACAGTTTCCTGACACTCCTCAGCACAGCTCTGGCTCCAGGGTGTTTTTTTTTTTTATTACATATTCCTCAGTTTGTGATCACCATAGACACAGAAGAGATGGTAAAGTTGTTGTTGTTTGCAATATGATGATTACTATGGAGCTTTAATAGGTGGTGTTTCTTTAACGTGATAAAAATGGACCCTAAAGAACACTAATCCATTGATTTAATAAATCATGTAACATAAGTCATGTGAAAAGGGGACAACGTTAGGGGAAAAAAAACTTAAAATGGTGCCAAGCCAAAGCATGTCTTTATAAATTGCTGTATTTAGTAATATTTTATATCAAATATTTAATTCTGTGTAAGTTGCCTGGTGTTAGCTGACTGTAAGGAGGACTCTTTCTTTATTAGCCAATATTTTTTTGTTTTTGTAATATCTCATAATGGGTGAAATATTTTATTGAGTTTTTATTCAATTCCTATTATTGTTGATATGATGTTTATATTTCTAGTATCGTAGGAATAATCATCCTCACAGTAAACTAAGGAACCGAATTTGGGGAATGGTCAATTTTGTCAACATGGTAAGGTTTGATATAGTTTTTGAATACCCCTGAAAATACAAATTCAAAGAATCTTTTGGGATAGATCTCTGTTGGTCTATTGTGTCCCCTTGATACTGAAGCAGTCCAAACCACACCAATTAGCAAAAATTCTTTGAAAAAAATAATAGCAACAAACCACTGCTCTTAGTTTTCAGTTTTCCAAATAAATGCCATTTAATATTTAAATAAGTTTCAAATGTTGGTCTCTAGTTACAAAATTTATGAAGAAATGTATAAAGAATTTGGAAACCAATAACTATAAACCAAATCTCACTGCTTTAAATCACTCTTCCATGACCTTGTATAACAGTAAGTCTTTCAAGTGGTAAGTTAGTGCCCAGGGTTTTGCATAGAAACTGGGGTAACTATTTCAGTAAAATACATTACAAGGATTAATTTGTCTAAGTTAGGATGAACTCTAGCCCTTAAGGTGTTTCCATTTGCATTTGCATCCAGTTTTATAAATGTAAAGTCCACCTATGAATAGAGAGGGTCCAGAAAGCCCAGGTTACCCTCATTTTGCAGGACCTGATGCACAAAGTTTATCCCACATTAAGATCAGGGCCAAGAGAAATAAGGGTGTTATCACAGTCTCCAGTGTAGATTTGGAGTCATGGTTTGATCATATGCCTAACTTCATAGGCATTTAAAAGGAGCCTAGTTCTTATCATTATGAAATGATCTTTGGAGACCATGATTTTGACACCTGAAATTCAGCATATTTATATTCTGCAGGTTATGAAAAGTAGAAAATTAATGCAAAGTTAATGTTATAGAAATGATATGAGTACGAAACTTCTTAATAACTAGTTATACTACCTAGTAACATTGTATGAGTAACCTTTCCATTTCTGTTCTTAAGTCAGAGTTTGTAGATTATCATTTATTTTCTCTTTCAACCTACATACACTGGCTGTTATGCAATATAACATTGATATAACACATAGTCTTTGTCTCAAAATTATTACAATAATTGCTTAAATTCTGTCTTCTATTGTACTAGCATAAATGTATCTATCAACTAGGAGTTTACAAACAAGGTGGGAACAGGGGTGAGAAGACTTATGGACTGCTCCTATTTCTGCTTGCTTTAAGCAATCCCCAGTAAGATTTCTCAGATGAAAAAAAAAAAAAGTAGTTCTAAAAATCAACCATAAAGATCAAACACAGTAGCTAAGCTAAGAAAATTAATATCAACTTTTTAACCTGCCCCAGAACCAACTGTTGGTCTAAAGAACATTAATTCCACAGTGTGCCACTGTTAGTAAATTCATGTTGTCAGACCAGTTATAACCTGAAAACCTTAATATATCTTTCTTCTAGATACATCCTAGATCAGTGCCTGTTAGGCTTATGATAGTTCAAGGAGAATCAGATCTTTTTGGTCAAGTTTCATTGTTGAGCATAGAAATTCACCCAGTATTCTGGGCAATGCACTCTGCATCCCATGTTAGTATGTTTGTTTGTAAAATGAGTCCTTCTGTACCTCACAAGTGAAAATTACTATTTTTTTAGAAATGTAAAGGAATGCAGTCATGACGAAAGATCCTTCCAACAACTTGACTTTGTGAAAAACAATTTCTTCTTTGAACAGATTTATAAAACCTTGAACATCCAGGTGACATTGGTTGGCCTTGAAATATGGACAAATGGAGATAAAATACAATTAGATTCAAACATAGAAACTACCTTATTACGTTTTTCAACTTGGCAAGAAACTGTCCTTAAAACAAGGAAGAGTTTTGATCATGTTGTATTACTCAGGTATGTGGCTACTCTATTTTTCGGCATAACTTAATATAACTTTCTTAACTTGAAAAGAAAACAAAGTAAATGAAAAACAACAAAAACTTCCTAAAGCAATTGACTTTTGGGTAGTACATAGGGACAAAATGTTATTTCTAGCTTTACAGAAAATTTCCAAGTGGACTGCTTAATAATCTTTCTTTCTAATATTGATTAATTCTAAAAAGGAAAACTCTGATATATTTACATTCCTTGGCAGAGTTAAAAATACCATTAGGTAAATAAATTACGTTTAGAATCCATTTCCATTACTCATCAGCATCCGATGCTAACTCCCCTTGCCCTTCCAAGCCATGCCATTCGATTCTGGGATTCCACTAAAACCTGCATTTCTGGGAAAGCACCTTACTCTCCCGGCATTTTTCCTCATCAAAGCAAGTAGCCCTTCAAGACCATCTTCTCAACTATATAAGAGGACAGATAATCTGATAAGTGAAACCTGCCATAGCTTTAATATCGCCAAGTAAACATGGGAATTTGTCTAGACTGCTCAATCATTACTTTTAAAAATAGGGGCCATTTTTTATTATTTTTTACTATTCAAAATATCTAGCACAGTACTTAGCCCAGAGAAAATGATAAATATTTATGGAACTGAACTTAATCCAACCTTGTGTTTAATATAGTTCTGTTATCCTAAGGAATGCTAAATTGTGGAGGAACTATGTTGGAACAATGGCATCTTTGAGCATCTCTTCTGATGCCCTTAAAGCTACTATATTAGAGTGGTATCCACTTAACCTACTTTATCTATGTATATCAGCATTTCTTCTAAGGTCGGCAAGCAAAGCCTGCTAATCTTTTTTTCTAGTAAACTCGCCCAACTCCAAATGCTGTTCTTGAAATCAAATCAAATTTGAACTCCTATAATACACATATCTACATTTGCCTTTTTAGGTACAATACAATAATAGTCCTCTTTTTACATGACAACTCTTTTAAATGTTTGATCGTGGCTATCAAACCCTCTCTGACTTTCTATGGCTGATTAAAAGTTTTAAAATTTTGTTAAAATGTATCTGATTGATTGTGGTATTAGGTTCATTCACTGTGTTACATTTTCCCTTCTAAACACTTTTAAATTTAATTAATTAATTAATTGCATTATAAGTGGTTTTGCTCAGAGCTAAATGCAATGTAGACCAGAGTCGAGTAAATATGGGACTCTAACCTTATTTTGTTTGGGTTTTATAATATACCTTTCTACAATTGCAACTTTAAATTTCATTGATTTTTCCCAAAGCTTCTAATATAACACAGGTTAATGATGAGCTCAATATTAACTAAGGTCAGCCTCAATTCCAGAACTCCAGAAATAAGAAGGCACTTGCACATGCAAAGGCATTGGCGTTGAGATGGTTCACTACAAGTTGATCTTGTGTTAATTAAACTACTAACTGAGATTGAAGAGTGTGTTTGCATCTTGTTTATAGTGGGAAGTGGCTCTACACACACGCGCAAGGAATTTCTTATCCAGCGGGAATGTGCCTGCCCTATCATTCCTGCAGTGTCATTAAGGTAGGCTGTGTTTTATCTATGTTACTTAATCAAAAAGTTTGAATTTAATTTCTGTAAGGTTCTGTATCCCATCAAAAGAGACCATATGCTCATTTTGTCATACATTCCTGCCAAGATATGTCACAGACTGTTATGTTTTATTAAAAATCATAGATGAACAATGAAAGTAAACTAGTGTTGTTCAGAGTTTAAAAGGCTATCATATACATATTTTCCTGCAATGATTAGGAAATCTCTTTTGCATATTAACTATAGCTATTTATAAGGACAGATAATGTACACAAAACTTAATGGCTAATTCAGCTAGCGTGGATAATTGTGCTTGTACTAATAATGATGTACATAAATTACTTTATATATCATATTAAGACAGCCTTGCAATTATTTTTAGAAGGCTTAGGTCCTACAAACTGCTGACTCTCCTAGTTTATCTCATTCTTTTCCAAGTCTCTAAGTTCTTAGTCAATAATATCCAAGTAACCCTATCTGAGAGATTCTTGAAAACATGGTTTGCATTTATTTCCTTTAGATCTCTGCCTAGTTATTGCTATGCCCAATCCAGTCTAGTTAAAACCTCAAATTTAAATGCTAATACTTATTTAAATGACCATATGACTTATTTATTTTATAGTTATTTTTATGCTTGTATCTTTGCCTATGGTATTTCAGTAATACAAGTTTTGGACAATAGAGTCAATCTAATCTGATATAGGCTGTTTCTGCTACAATTATGGTATTACCACCAGTCCAGAACACATTTTCCACTTCATATGAGTAAGATGAAATGATCAAATTAGGGATATTTTATTAGCTTTACAGTAACCTGATATACCACTCCTCTTCGGAAATTAATTTTTGCATTAATATAGAGATTAAAATATGAATAAAACTATGAGCCAAGATAACAACCAATTCTGCCAAAGATTTTCTTATATCTGCCTTTTAGGTTTTCCTGATAATAGAAACTCTCTCCTCAAGGTTATATAGTATTGTTTTGCAATACAAGACTATAAATTGAAAACGAGAATCTCATATATTTTTGTTTTTATCCCTTTTGAAAATCTAGCATAGAGAAGACAATAAATAATTTTTATTATATTCCATAGGACATTGATCTCAGTCCATTCAGCTGCTCTGACAAAACACCATAAACTGGATGACAAATAAACAACAGAAATTTATTTCTCACAGTTCTGAAGGCTGGGAAGTCCAAGATCAAAGCAGCAGTAGATTGGGTGTCTGGTGAAGACCCACTTTCTGGCTCATACTTGGCAACTTCTATCTGTGTTCTCACATGGTAGAGGAGAATCTTATTTGAGCACCTTTTATGAAGAGCACTAATCCCATTCACAAAAGCTCTGCACCCATGACCTAATTACCTCCCAAAGGCCCCACCTCCTAATGCCATCACCTTGGGGTTAGGGCTTCAACATATGAATTTTGGAGAGACACAAACATTCAGACCATAATAACATCAGTTAATAGTTCTTAGCTATTTGTCAGAATAAGTTTCTGTAAATCCAACAATGATTACTAATAGTACTGTCTCATAAAAAGCAAATTTCAAAATATTAGAGCTTCAGATACTTAAAAAGTAATTTTTCCCAGCCTCCTTATTTAATCAAAGAAACCGATGTAGAGGGGAGGGAGGTAACTGAGTCCATGACCTCTCCAATAGGTACTAGTTAATTAGGAGCTAGAAACTGGGTCTTTCAACCGTTAGTTTGAAGCACTATGTACTACAGTGTGCTATTGTTTGGAAATCTCTAATACACATTTATTTTTGCATCAGGATCTTTTACCTGACATAAATGTAGTTGCAAATAGAATGGCACATCAGTTGGGGCATAACCTTGGGATGCAGCATGACGAGTTCCCGTGCACCTGTCCTTCCGGAAAATGCGTGATGGATACTAGTGGAAGGTGAGGTTCAACCCATATAGAAAATACATTTAAATATTTTGGGAGTAGCTTTTGGGTCAAATTCCATTATTTGTTTACAGCCAGAACACGTAATGCATTGTGTGTAGTAAGAAAAGTGTCCGGTGATGATCAATGCTTCCACGTATTGATTAAATGAAGTAAGGTAGCTAACACACCCAAATGCAGTGGCCAGCATAGAGTAAGAACTCACCAATATTTAATTTTATGTTATTATCTACACAATTAGTGGTATTTTTTCAGAGTCCCACCATCCCAATATAATAATAAGATTCTAAGAGCCCTTCTGTGTTTAATTATTATGTCAGTAATAATGTCAAGGGAGCCAAAACAAAAGGAAGATGAAAGGGAGGTGAATTTCAGTTTAAGAAGAAGTATATCTCATTCCTAAGCATATATATGATATTATTACATAAATAGTTTGTTTCAAAAAATATTTATAAAGAACTACTGTGCTAAGCACTGTGTTAACTGGAGGTTATTTTAAAGAAAAAGAATTGAACCCTATACAGTCTTTGCTTTGAGAAGTTTGCAATCTTGCAGGGATGATAAACAAGTATGTAGATTATTTTGAGATGACCAAATAAAAAGGAATGTGGGAATAGCAAGCATTGACAACTAGTCTTAACTGTGGGCTTCAGAAAGGATTTGCTGGAAGATATATAGCCAGAGTATTTTCACTAAAATAGCATGTGTTAGCTGTGTTTTGAGAAGATATTTTTAATAGAGCCCAGTTGCTGCTCTGCTCTAACAGTGGACATTTACATTTGTTTTTTCTAATTGCTTCCTAAAAACTTACACAGCTTCTATGCCACGATGCATTGATATGATTAATCTTTTTTTTTTTTACCTCATCTTATCTCTAGCATTCCTGCACTAAAATTCAGTAAATGCAGCCAAAACCAATACCAGCAATACCTGAAGGATTACAAGCCAACATGCATGTTCAATATTCCATTTCCTGCCAAATTCGATGATTTCCAATATTGTGGAAACAAAAAGTTGGATGAGGGAGAAGAGTGTGACTGTGGCCCTGTTCAGGTATTTGCAAATGGTGATGTTGTCTTTAGATTACTAAGCTCACGGTCAGCTAGAACCTAGGCAGGGATGTGGCCATTAATCAAATCCACCATGGGGTTTTGCAAACCTTTAAAAAGACTGTGTTTTTTTTGTTTTGTTTTGTTTTGTTTTCATTTGGAAACAAGCTGTTGGTGTAGCCTCATTCCAAGGCTTCTTATCAATCATGTATAAAGATCTTACTGGAAAGTACCATCACATTTGCCTGGTTTATATATTAATTGTCCCTTCTTGTGAGAAGGACGCATAGGTGTTCTTAAGTCTGACCTCTCATGCGTAGTAGGAATCTGCTCTGCAAAATCCATCATAGTCAGTCAAGCAAGTTTTACTCAGAGCTTTAAGAGGCTATCCAGTATCGTGGTTGGACTATTCCCAATATTAGAAAACCCTTTCTTAATAGAGTGGAAAACCTTTTACATATATATTATATGTAATATATATATTGGTTTCTAGGACATTTAGAAAAAGCCATTGAGGCAAATTTTAAAATAATTCTTAATATGCTTTTACCCAGCGTAGAAGCTCTTTCTTTCAAGAGCTCACCATATAGGTGTGTGTTCTAGACTCCTACTTCTCAAATGAATAAGTGCATATAAATCACCAGGGGTGTTGTTAAAATGTGGAGTCAGATTCAGCAGAGTAGAGTGGGGCTGAGATCCTGCGCTCCTGCCAAGTTACAAGGTTATATCGATGCTGCTGCTCTGATGACCACATTTTTAGTACCTGTGCTCTAGACACTGCACAATTCAAAGAGGTCTACTAAGACAGAAATTAGAATCAGAATCAGAGTGGGGGCAGTGAGCTGCCCAGAGGTTATAAGAACTAGTCTTCAAATGTCTCAGATTAAATGTGTAGAGTATCTTAACTCTGGAAATTGATCCTCTTTGGAATGTTGCTACCATTTCATTCTTACACGTGATGTAGCTTACCTGACCAGACACAGACAACTTTCTTTGCCTTTTGTTCAAGCAGATAGGGCCTAAGTGATCCTCTTGCTGTTATTATTTAGTGATGTATTAAACACAGAATGATCAACCTGAAATACTTAGCACCTTGAGCAAAAGGTAAAATCAGACCTTCCGAAGTTGTATTATCTCATATCAAACTTTAGTGTGGGAAAGCAGCAAGACCCTTTGAGGGAGCTGAGGTGCTAGGAGAATGGAAAATCACAGACTTTAGACTTTCTAATTCTGCCAATGAGAATTTATTAGCTGCAGTGTACCAGACAGCACGAGGGAAGGAAAACACAGAAAGAAGCAAACACCAGTTCCAAATAGTAATCGTTATCTATAATACACCATAGCCAAAGGTTATGCATCAATATTTAACTCTGAAAGATTCCACAGCAGAACAACTAATTAACTCTTCAAATTGGAGTCAAACCACATGCCAATTTCTGATCTTTAATATTTGATTATTGCCAGGAGTGTACTAATCCTTGCTGTGATGCACACAAATGTGTATTGAAGCCAGGATTTACTTGTGCAGAAGGAGAATGCTGTGAATTTTGTCAGGTAAGATCTTTTGGTGAGAGAGAGTTTCTCTATATTCAGTGTAAGTGTATGTAGGATCAAAGAGCTGTCTGATCATTGCACAACCTATACCATTAATTCCAGAATGGGGCTAGGCTTGCAAATACCCTACAGTGCCTCTTCTGACAGGTTCCAACGTCTGAACATTGATCTAGGGAGTGGAAAAGCTGTTGGTGTTTTAGGAGGGAACCCCATGACCAACACTCTTCTTGTTCCTGTGTGAATCATTGCCAACTTATTATCCTCAGCTGAGAAGAAATTGTTATCTCAACAAGAGTAGGCTAAAAGGGAAAATGATTGTATTGGGATTGGAAAATGGTCGTGGCTAGTAGAGGAGAAATATTCCTTGGGAAGACAACCAGAAATCCAAAGGTTTATTGACACTTCTTTCACCCCACTGGGTGGATTGTGAACTCACAAGGAAAAGAAAAATATCTGCATCTTCAAATCCATGCAGAACCCGGCACAATCAAATGCATATTGAATAGCTGAATGAGAGGATATCTCTATGCATTTCCCTCCAGGAGTTCAGAGTCCAGGTATTTTTTTCCATATTGAAGAATCTGATTTCTTGAGAATGGAGATTTGTTATTGTAGGCAGAAGTTCCCAGTTTGAGACTAAGGTGTGTACTAGATCCTTTTGGATGAGGAGAAAAGACAATGTAAATGAGAACACCGGCCCATTTCTCTATGTTATGTCCATTCCAACTCTACCAAGGCTGTTCTAATATCAAATTTCAAAAACACCATCTTGTCATTCCTGAAATTACATAAAAGCCAAGGCATTTATGAATAATAGCAATTCTAAGTGAAATGGAGAAAGAAGTGATGACCTATCCTTAATGCGTTTTTTAGATAAATTAAGTGGGTAAACTGTCTGCATCCCCACTGAACCTTAGCTACCTAAATGCATCCACGATTCAGTCTATTTGTTTTTCTTCAACAGATTAAAGAAGCAGGGTCCACATGCAGACCAGCAAAAAATGAATGTGACTTTCCTGAAGCGTGCACTGGCCACTCCCCTGCGTGTCCTAAGGACCAATTCCAAGTCAATGGGTTTCCTTGCAAGAATGCAGAAGGCTACTGCTTCATGGGGAAGTGTCCCACCCGGGATGACCAGTGCTCTGAACTATTTGCTGATGGTGAGAGACAGTGAATGATTGATAAAGATAATAGAGTGTATTTCTCTATGTCATTCTATAGGAATTGGGTCAAGATTGAAGATAATTCCATATGTGGCATTATTCCAATGTATTAGCTAGCACTCCTCTGGATGTTACATCCAACATTAATAGATGAGCTCAGTATGTGAGCTAATGTATGTTATGCATATTTGATGTATGTTATGTATACTTTTGTCTACCTCTCCTACTTCCTCAAATATCCTCCAGAGACAATAGGATTGTTTCAAAATTAATTTTTCCACTCTGCTTCACCACTACATGATATAACATGATACTGAAAATTCAATTACATTCGGAATGTAAGGTCTCTTGTGATTGATGATGTGCATGCTCTCATTGTTTTACTTTTATCATACCATTTTTGTACCCCAGGGGCAAAAAAGAGTCATGATATGTGCTACAAGATGAATAAAAAAGGAAATAAATTTGGGTACTGCAAAAAACAGGAAAACAGATTCATTCCATGTGAAGAGAAGTAAGTGCCCTGTGGAAAAAAGTAAGTGCTCTCTTACAGGGTTGTGCAAAATCAGAGTGGCTCCTGTTCTGACAGTTGTTGAACTCTTTTTACTGAGGAGGTTAGGATGAGAGGAGAGCAGGAAAGGAGAGAGCCGGCAACCCTGACAGCGTTAGCTGGTGTTTATTAACTCATCGAATATAAGAAGGAAAGATGGGGAAGATTGAAGATGCTTGGAAAAGAAACACAGGGAAAGAATCCTACCAAAAAAGGACTGGAGGAAACAGGAGGAAGGAGGAAAATAAACAGAAAAAGGAAAAAGAAAGGGAAAAATGGAAGGAAAAAAGTGAAGCCATAAAAAGAAAAGGTAGAAGCTGAAATTGGGAGAGCAGGAACATTTAAAATTTAGATCTGTTTTAGAAGGTTTATAATATATACTCAATCCATATTTTCTTTCCCTCCATTAATCAGATCATTAGAAATATTTTAAATTCAGCTATTTTGTGAAGGTATGAGTTCCTGAAAGGAAAGATGACATTGGAAAAATTATGAAAAGCTATTTAAAGCAGCTATAGGATGGTCTCTCTGACTCTCTCTCTTTCTCCTCTCCAATTGAGTCATACTTCAAACTTAGTCTTTGAAAGATTAGGGAATAAATTGATTTTTATAAATACTGAAAAAAAAGTCAGGCTTTTTTTCTTTTTCAAAATATCTTGAACAAATAATGTGTTTAAAGTTTGTTCTTGCATTTATTGGTTTTGCAAAAGAAGGCATCATCATGTACAGTACTTGTAATTAAAAGCAAGTCATTTCTTTTAAAAAAGGCAATTTGCAAAAAAAATGTTTTTGGTCTTTTATAATTCTCATTAAAAGGATATCTGGCAAATTAAAAAATAACTAATGAAATTATAGACATGATTTTTTTCTAGTTAATGTAACTATAAAATAGTCAAACATTCTTTATTTTAATTTTATTTTTATTTGTGAGTGGAACCATTCTTCCAAGTTTGTTACTGACATGCTGCAAAGCTTTGGATTTGGACTGAAAACAACAACCATAAAAACCTAAAGTCAAGTTCAGCTTTGCTCCTAAATACATTAGGTGACAATGGACAGTCACTTAATTTCCCCACCTTTCAATTGTTGCCTACTCTGTAAAATGCAAATCATTTTACAGAGTAGGCAACAATCTCACAGGCTTGTTGTCAGAATCAACTGATGGTGCTCTATGCGAGAAAGAATAAGAAGGAAATCTTGGTGTCCTGATCCTAAAATTTGATTTAGTCACTCAAATGACTAATGAGAAACATTCCTCTGTAAACTTGAACAAACATTGATTTGTGAGAATCACAGAGAAATCAATAGGAAATATGATCCTTTTACATTCTTTACCTACTCATCTTGGTACCCAGGGTCGGGACTTTGTCCAGTGGCTTTCTCTGTCTATCCTGACTCCTTCAACCTGCCGGCAAAACCTGGGTCTCAAACAAAGTGACCAGGCCAATTCACTGTGCTACCTCGTCTCTAAAGTTCTATTTCTGGTCTTAAGTCTGTGAATACTGTCCCTTTCTTTCAGAGATGTCAAATGTGGAAAGATCTACTGTACTGGAGGACATCACTCATCTCTCTTTGGGGAAGACAAGACCTATCACCTCAAGTATCCAAAGCAGAGCCCCCAGAATGGCACCATCACATGCAAAACCATGTTTTTATACCACGATTCTAAAGATGTCGGCCTGGTTGCCTTTGGAACAAAGTGCGGAGATGGAATGGTAAGATGAAAGAAAGTCCTTTGTTTTATTTAAACTTCTTGATTCAGCCATTTAAAAACAACATTGGATGCCATAATTGCTTCCAAAGGGGCCTATAAATGTAAATGGAAAGAAAAGTTGACAGTTTTTTTAATGAGGAGTAGAATAGCAATAACACTGTAATAAACATTCATTTTTCCTAATTTTAGTTATGCCAAATGATATGTAATTGTGATAAATATACTTAATCGGTGTCTTACAATAGACAACTAATGAAGTTATAGACTGGATATATTTTCTAATTAATGTGACTATAAAGTAGTCAAGCATTCTTTATTTTATTCATTCGATCATATTTACTGGCCATGTACTAGGGGTTCCAGTGAGTGTACACTAAATATGAGTAGACAGGAGAATTTCATACACTAAATTAAACAGATCATTACAATTCAACAAAAGTGCTTTCGTAGTGGTATGACCAAAGCATATTGGGAATCTAAAGGAAAAATGACTGACTTTGCTCTTAGATCATAGAGTGGCACCTTAAATACATAACATTTCAGCTTTGGCTCAATGAACAACATTTTAACAATACAGAAAATGGGAAAAGACTTTTTAGAAAGAAATACTTATGTAATATGCAAAAGTACGAAGTATATGGAGTATTCAGTTAACCAATAATTTCAGTATGGCTTGAGCTTTGGGTGAAATGGCAAAACATGGAGTTGAGCAGACAGAATGAGGCCAAATGGAAAGGGTTTATCATGCCAAGATGAAAATGTTAGACTATATAGACTAAACCATAGCCAGCTCATCAGGAATGTATGGAAAGCATGTGATACTTTATGGAAAAAAAATCAGCTATTTGAAACTGAATAGTTTCTCCCTGTGGCATGTCTTCCTCTGTCTCTCTACATGACCACCCACAATATTACAGTGGAATTTGTATAACTTGACAGAGAAATAAATTGGAAAACAAAAAGTCAAAAAGTAAGAAAAAAAGAATTAGAATTTAATGATTTAATGGGCACTTAGATTTCAAGTCCATATATTTAACTATACTGTTTTTCATTAAAATGATAAAATGAATATCAGCTTGGTAAGAAATATATATTTGTGAAAATTAAGGTATGTTTACTAACCACAAGCTAGAAAATTAGAGAACATTCAATAAGACAAAGCATATGAGGCCTCAGGTTGAAGAAAATACCAAACAATTTGCTTTCCACTTTGAATATGGAAAATTAGCCTGAGATACACGGTGAAATTATAGCGTCTCCTTCATTAAGAGTGGGAGGGACTGAAAAGGGGCCCATTAGGGAAGCAGGTGTTAAGAAATACATCTCGCTCTCTTCAGTACATTGTGACCATGCACCTCCAAATAGATTGCCTGTTCCTTCAAGAGAAGGCTTAGGACAGAGGCACACCCATCACAGTGGTGCTGGTTCTTCAGCCAATTACTAGAGAAGAAAGTCATGCATAGCAGATGCCAGTCTATGGGGTATCACAATGATACCAGTTAAAGAATTTTCCTTTCATTTTTGCACTGATATACTATTCTTAGATATAGCAAACTTAAAAGGCATAAAAATATGTTAGTTCTCTAATATTTATTTTTTTTTCCTGGATAAATTTTAATTTGGTACAGGAAGTTGGGGTGCCCCAGGTGCCCTTTAGTTGAGCCTGAAATACTTTGCAATTGGGGTCCTCAGTATTCTGGATTCTGGCCAAACAGGCATGTAGTGGCATCTAGAGTACTTTTAGGGAGATTATAATAATGGATTTAATTTTAAAATAGATACAGGGACTTTCTGGTTCCAGATGAGATGGAGTAAACACTTCTGCAAAACGCAGCTAAAACTCTGAATGGAACATATTTAAATAGCATAGGAAGACCCTGAAATGTGGAGAGAAGATGAGCTAGAGACCTTGGGAGCCAAGGAAACACAAGGCAGTGTGTTCCCTGACCAACCAGCAAATACGATGTAATATATATTATCATACCAAATCAAAATGGAAACTTCCTAGAAACAGAAGAAATGGTGGCAATTATAATTGCAGAATGATTTGATAGACTAACACTCAAAGAATTAACAAGAACATAACCATTTTGATTTAAAAATGTTTGATATAAAAATGTCTTCATATACAATACCTTCATCAAATACTCTATAAAGGGTTTCTCTATCCAAAAAAGATGCTACATGTGGAATTTTACAATGCACAAAATTTCATAATTTGTAATTAAATCACATAAATTGAAATTACAATTCCATATGCAAATTACATGAAAATTATGCATTTCACATGCATTACATGAAATTACAATTTCACATATAAGGTAAGCCATTCTAATTCATGTTGGTTACTTCATTTCTAGGTGTGCAGCAACGGTGAATGCGTGAACAATGAAAAGGTCTACAGTTCAACAAATTGCCACTCTCAGTGTGGTGAAAGTGATGTAAGATTTGACTGCTTTTTCAATTAATGTCTTACCAGCCATTTAGGACTTTTTTTCTCAGCCTATGTGTTACAGCCATATGTACTTTTGCTGATTTTTAAATCAAATATATATTTGGGATCCATTTTTCATATGTCATCAATTAAATTGATCCAAAGAGCCAAACCAGATATCATTACACACAGATATTGCCAGTGCTGTAAGTAAATGTTTTATTATTAAACTGGTAATCTAGAAATCCAGCAATTTATGTAAAGTTTAAACTTGAATCTTTTGCAACATTCCTTATAGTTCAGTTATATCAATGTCAACTTTAGCTTAACGCTTTTAAGAAAAACAACAAAACTTATAATCTTTTTTCTCTCAACACTGTTCAGTGCTAGCAGTTACTAGCAGTTTGTGTCTGAAGGTAACATCTGTCCTAAGCCTGATTAATCAGAAACACTATATAGTAACACTTATATAATATAAACTTTAAAAATCTTCCTAATAAACTTGAGAGGTGTGTACTATTCCTGTGTCCACTTTGACAGAGGGAGAATCAGGCGCGCTGATGTGCTATGGGAAAAGCTGAGATTTTAATCCAGAAAGATGACTCCAATGTCTGTGCTCTTAACCATTACACAGTGCTCTTTGATGAAATAGACACTGTGCTACCGCTTTTTCCCCACATCAATATTATCTTATGATTACTAGGCTTTGAATCTGCTCTTTGGCTATGATATGTCCCCCTCTAGCTGACTCTAGCAAGGGCTGTTCGTTTAAAATATATATACTTTCTGGAAAGGTAAATCATGCTGTCTTGTTTGTCCTTGAATTTGTAGGTATCATTCTCTTGTTCAGAGGCCTTTTCTAAAGGTGGTTGCTTCTTTTATTTCGTGTGCTTATTTTTGTGCAACACTGATTTTGGTAGGCAGTTTTGCTAACTAATCAATAAAAAGGTTTGTGTGTGTTTGATGTAGAAATTTCAATAAGCTAAGTGAGCTACAAAACACAACTTATGCCGGTCATTTGATAAAATATGATTGACCGCTCTTTCAGGTGAATGGCCATGAACTCCAGTGCCAGTGTGAGGAAGGACAGACATCTGCAAACTGTGAAGAAACCTTAAATATTACCAGTGAGCATCCTAGAATATAATCTTACATATATCAAAGCCTACCCAGTGAGAACATTTTTTTCTTATTTTCTAATCTGCTACATATTTGTAGTGTTTCTATATGGATTTGTATGATTTTTTTATTATTTTGCATGTTTGAATACACAAATTGAATTTACTAACACTGCCTTTTACAGGTAACATATTCTCTTCTAGCTAAATCATGCTTAGATCCTCTAAGAATCTTCAACATAACAAGGATTAATAACTGACAACCCAAGCTTTTCCTGGTGATCATGGTTCCCTTAAACATAATGGAATTGTGGGTGGAGTGTCAATTGCTAATACAAATGATAGTTTGTATAATGTTTTGGCTTTTCACTTTGTATAAAAATAATTGAGAGGGGAGGAGAATTAAAGTCCTTTAGAAAGGAAGAAGTAGGATTGTAACAGCTCTGTTAAATGCTAACATTCCTCTGTTCTACAACTGATGTCCTGGCTGAAGCCCATGTTTTTCAATGTTGCAGATATTGCCATTTTGGTGGTTGTGCTTGGCCTGGTTGTTACGGGCATTGGAGTTGTCACATTATTAATTCGTTACCAAAAGTGTATTAAGTTGAAGCAAATTCAAAGGTATGTCTGCATTTTCTATGGGTTGAAATGGACTATGACTATTTAAGCTTTGTGACCATAGATGGGGGAATAGTAATGAGCCTCTTAATGAAGGTCAGGTAGGAATGGTAGTAAATCATGCTTTTATGTACTTATCCAAATGCTTATTCTCCAGTGGTTCTCAGACTTTGTACACTTTGAAATCACCTTTGGATCTTTCCAAAAAAAACACCTGCTGATGTGGGTTCAAGACATTGTGATTTCATTGTTATAGGATACAACCTCATCATCAGTATCTCAAAAACCTTGTAGCTGATTTAGATCTAGCCACAGGTCTATCCCATACCTTGTATCACTGTTAAATTTCCTTCTTGCCAGCCCACCTAGGGAAACCCTGGGCGTGGAGAATAAAGGATACTTTGCTGATGAGCAGCAGACAAGGACTGAGCCAATCTTGCCAGATATCCATCCCCTGCATGTAAGAAACTTTTATTTGCAATAGTTAATTATTTAATTTTTTAAAGTAACTGTGTGCATGTTTAATTAAAACATAAGACAGAAATAAATGGAGTAAAATAGATGTTCAGAGATCCGAAGACTCATTATTGTTGGGCTGTCAGTTCTCCCCAAATTGATCTACAGGTTCAACACAATGCTAATCAAAATACCAGCAAGATTTTTTGCGAAACTAATAATAAATGAATTTAGCAAAGATACATGACACAAGATTAATAAACAAAAATTAATTGGATTCTCACATCCTAGCAACAATGTGGAAATAAAATAAAAGTATAATTTGAAATAGCACCATAAATGTGAAATATTAGGGATAAATCTGACAAAATATGAACCAGAACTGTATATGGTAAATTGCAATGCATTGCTAAAAAAATTTGTTGAATCAGAAAACTCTATATTGTTAAAATGTGAACTTTCACCAAATTGATCTAATTATTTAAAGTAATACTAGTCTAAAGCTAAACATACTTTTTAATAATAGAAATTGACATATTGACTCTAAATGTCATGAAAATACAAACTATCCACAATACCAAAACTATTTTAAGAAAGCAGAATATAGTTAGGAACTTATACTACTTGATATCCAGATACTATAAAGCTAAATAATCAAAAAAGAATGATATTGGCATAAATATAGACCAGTGAAGCAAGATAGAAAATAAGAAATAGACTCATAAACGTATAGTCAATTGGTTTTAAACAGACGCAAAGGCAATTCAGTGGAGAAAGAACAGTCTTCACAAATGGTGCTAGAACAACTGGATACCCATATGTAGAAAGATGAAATTTGATCTATTCTTTGAACCATACACAAAATTAACTCAAATTGCAATGTAGACACATATTTTTCCCTGTAAAAAATTAAAATTTAAAATGTATAAGACTAAAAACTATAGTGTTTAGAAATAATCATTTGGGAATAAAACTATAAAGACATGCAAGCTAACCATTATTTTAAGTCAGTAAAATGGCCCATTTGGGAGGAGAAAATAGGTGGTAATCATGCTAGGAACATGAAGTGGCAAAATTCTATATCTTAACCATGAAAGTGATTACAACGGTATAGACTTTAAGTGGTTAATTAAGTCATACATTTGTTTTGTGCGAATGTGTTTTTTTAATCCATGTTTCAATTTCCCATTGAATGATTTAAAGTAAAGGATGATAATAATCCCTAGTGGGAATGTGAACAGTGGAAACTTTCATACACAGCTAATGAGGTTTTAAATAGAACAATTAATGGGAAAAATGAATTATGTACTACATATACCCGGTAACACAGCAATTCCTGTCACATGAATACACCCAACAGAAACGTGTACATGTGTGCATCAGAAAACATTTACAATAATGTTCCAAGTGCACTGTTTGCAAAAGTTGGAAAGTAGAAACATTCCAAACGTCCACAGACAGTAAAAGGGGTGAACAAATTACTAAATATCCATACAAGAGATCGCTACAGAGAAAGGATAACTATTGAACTACCGATATCTAAAACAATGTGGATTCATCTCACAAATATACTGTTAAGCAAAGAAGCCAAATCCAAAAACAAATGCTAAAACTATAGATTACATCAAATTTAACATTGGCAAACCTCTCTGTGGTATTCAAAGGTAAGAATTGCAGTTACCATAGCGAAGGGAGGTTCTTCTAAGGAGGTGATAAAGTTTTATTTTTTAATCTAAGTGGTGGCTGGTTTCACAGTTACTTTCGTTTGTAAACATTCATCCATATCTACATTTAGCATTTGTGCATTGCTTTGAGTATATTTTACACTAAAGTAAAAAGGTTATTGAAATAGCTTTAGGAATATATGAAAACCTAGGGAAAAATGTTGAAAATCCTACAGAAGTCCCTGCAAATCATGGCTTGTTGAGTGACTGTAGCAACAGCTGTGATTTCCAAAGCATTCAACTCATTGAAAAACCAAGAGTGAAGATTAAGAAGCTACAAAGGCACTCCCTTTAAAAAAAAATTAACTGATGAAGAAAGTAACATTCTGGATAAGATTAAACCAAAGAAACAAAATTTCTCACTAGGACACACGTCTCAAAGGAGGGAGACTAAGCCTCCAATTTTAAGGCTGAGTATTAACTGATTGTGACTGGATGCAAGTGCCAATGAACATATAATGATGCCAGCATTGTAAACTTAGGATTTTCTTTTTTTTTTTTTTTTGGTGGTGGTTGGTAGTGGTCTACTTACGCAGTCCCAGAGATTTTGAATGCTTCGCCTAGGACTCCACCCATTCCATAAGCCCTGGGTCTGTCACTGCACAATAATGCAGAACATGCCCTGCCCTACCCCCAGGAACACATATACAACGTTTTAGCAGACATGCCTCTACTGAACTTCGCTGGAGTATTTAGAGATAGCAGTTTATCTTTCTCTAGTTCCATGATGGTTTGTGATCATTTTGTTATCCATTTGTACCCTGTGTTAAGCCAATGGTGACCCCAAGATGGTAAAACCAAGTCTTAATTGTCCACTCTAATGGGCAGAGAATATTGGGTGATAACTTTTCAAGGTTACACTGAGATTTTCTGGAATGAAACCACCCATTGCTAATCTCAATCTCATATATTTGCCTTGAGGTTTAAATGAGAAACTCTGTATGTAAATGTGCTCAGTGCTGTGTTTGGTGTATATTTAGCACGTATATGTTAATGGTCTACTGTACTTCCTATGCTGTTACAGTTACTTTCCTAAGTACGTTTTCCTTAAATTAATGTGTAAAACAGGCACTCTCCCCGAGGAGGGAGTCAGGTGAACATGGTCTGAGTCCATGACCAATGATGAATAATCACAGAAGCCAACCAGAGCTTCACACAGAGCCTGGGAGATACTTGTTACACTTGTAGATTATAAACTACTAAAGGGCTTTGGGCTTTTTGGTTAAATAAGGGGCACCTTGAAGGGGGCATTAGTGCATATTTGTTGAATATATGAATACATTCAATTTACTACCGATGATATATATATATATATATATATATATACCATGATATATTTTAAACACAGATTGTATAGGAAAGTTTGGGACCTCAAATCTCATAGTTAGGTGTTTTTTTTATTTGGCATAAAATGATATAAACAAAAATAATTTAGCTGGTGCTTGTTTGACACAGTTACTCATCCTTAGCAAAATTGTAGTTTGGAGAAGATCTGTCTTTGGTGTCTTCTCCCTGTTACATTAATGATGCTTGGGTTTTTCCCCCCTCTGGCATCAGAGCCTCTCCCAGGTTCTTCTTCTTCCAGACCATGCTTTCTAGTTGTATTAATGTCTACCGGGGGCAGGCACGCTGGCTCATGCCTGTAGTCCCAGCCACTCGGGAGGCTGAGGCAGGAGGATGGCTTTAGGCCAAGAGTTCCAGGCTGCAGTGAGCTATGATTGTGCCACTGCACGTCAGCCTGGATGGCAGTACAAGACCCCATCTCTAAGGCAATAAATAAGAAATTGTAAAAAATGTCTCCTGGGGAGTTAGCAGAAAACACTTTAAAAAGTCAGGCATATCTGTATTTTAATAGGAAGGTTTGGAGGTCCTCAAAGACCTTCAAGATTCAAAGGAACGTAGCTGGTTGTGAAACTTCAGGCTTTCAGACAATTAGAGACATTAAGATTTGGAAGGTAACAGACCTGCCTTGTGCTACTTGTAACACAATATGTAAACAAACTCTCACTCTTCTCACCTGTGTGTTCCCTTTATAGACAGGTCCTTACTTAGACTCAGCTATTGCAAGGTAACAACCTAGGGAAGAATATTGTATCTCTGTCTTTTAGTATTTGTATGTTTACTAGGACTATATTCCAAGGATGGTTGGAAAATTTATTCTGTGGGTTTGAGAAATAGTCATACTTGCTTGAATGCTAAACGCAGATTAATAGTATCTCTTTTCACTAGCGGAGAACTGCTGAGTCCTTGGAGAACCTTCCAGCCAGTTTTTCAAGCCCCCACTACATCACACTGGTATGTTCCTTGCACCTTTCCGTGGTCGTGATAATCTCGTTCCATTTCAATCAAAACTTTGATGCCACTTAAGCATAAAAGGCCTAATAATATAACGTAGCTATCTTATTTGAGGTGGAAATAGGGAACTCCAGCTTAGAGACTTACTCTTTAGTAGGGTGGGGATTGGGTGAGAAAAGTGAGGTGAGCCATGCTTGTCTTTGTTTAAAATGTTGGCATTTTGTTCATCATGATACACATGTTTTCTCATAAATCAATTTCAAACTTTTCAAACTAACACATTAACATGTTATTTATTGTGCACTGAGTTTGTTTTCACTCCTTAAATTCTTCTGAGTTGAATGCCTGCCTCACCTCATCCTAGCCCTGGCCTCAGTTCTGAGGGGTAAAAACACAAGGATAGTTTTCAATAAGGCCTTGACCAGCCCAAGGGTTCTCCACGAAAACCCTCAGTTAACCAAGGTAGTATAACCCTTGCATCAGTATTTATGAGAGAGAAACAAACTAGCCAGATCAGCACATGCAAGCATTACAGGCTGAGTCAAAAAAAAAAAAAAAAAAAAAAAAAAGAACCATTACAGGATCTCTGGGAATCACCAAAATTGCTGGAGTGTGTCTGTATCTGCATTGTCAAAGTCACACAGTAGAACACTTCTTACTCACAACTAGACGCTGAATGCACTGAGATTTTCAACTCTGTATTTTTAAAAATAGCAATTCTCATCAAGCTTTCTTTATGAATGACTAAAAGTCTATGATTAGATGATTAGAATAGTTTTCAGTCTGTGATTCCACAGAATCCTCAGATCACACAAAAAGATCCTAGAATGTGCTGGATGGTAGAGGTGGAGCTATATGAACAAACCTCCCCATTTTCCATTGAACGATTTTTTCCATTTAAAAAAAAATCTGTTTTGCTGGGATTCCAATATAGATATTATCTGAATGAAAACTCTACTGCTTTAAAAATATTTAAACTCTCTTACCTAATATATTCTAGGAAATATTTACAAATTTTATAAGGAATAATGGTATCTGATAAAACTTTACTTAACCAGAACTATCCCCTCCCATCTCCCCTCTCCCCCACAATCCCATAGCATTTCACAAACTGTCTAGATTATTCACAGAGCAGGAAGAGATGGTCTGCATGTGTGTGCATGTGCTCATTTGTGTGCACATGCATGTTTGTGCATTTGTGTGTGCATGTATATCGGATGCAGTTTCTGATGGAACATAATTTGTTTATTATAGAAACCTGCAAGTAAAGATTCAAGAGGAATTACAGATCCCAACCAAAGTGCCAAAGTGGTAGGTTCACCATGACACTCCTGTTTTTTCCTTTTCAAATGCTGATATTTTGTGTTCTTTACCTGCTCATTGATTGAGGACATCCTCCATACTTACCAAAGGAATAGGAGGGTTGAAAGTGTTTTCACTGATATGCTACAATTTCTAACAGATTAATTCTGCTGAGTATGTTTTAGTCCAAGAATCTTATATCTGCCCAAAGGAGCAAAGCAGAGTCGCCACATATTATAGAAATAACAGAAACATCACTTTTCTCTCAGACTTTTGCTGGCCAGGGTATATATCCATTGGTTTTTTTCCAAGTATTTTAAAAGACATAATAGTGCTGGTAATCACAGGAAAGGAACAGTTTTCTTCATGATTGCTTTAGCAAAGTTTTAACTTACCAAATCAATAAATGTGAAGAATGATTTCACATTCGAATGACTATGTCTATATTGGAAAATGTATCCATAAATTTTGATTTACGTCAAGAGAGACAGAATGAGTTCTGTTTGGCTACATTTCCGAGTTTTTGTTTTCATTCATTTTTGTTGAGTTTCTTCAGCTGATCGTATTGGGTTGGAATGAAGCTTCCCTCCACAAAGCATTCCTATAAAAACTCCTGCCTAATATAGATAGGCTGCCTCTGCTGGGTCACATGAAGCAGGATATTTTCTAATGATCCTTCCACTCCAAGTGACAAACCTGTCCCACAGAAAGTAGAGACACTCCTGGGTGCAAGCAAAGTGTTCGGCATCTTATAGTGGAAAACAAAATTATTTTCTTCTATCTCATGATATGCCTGTTTATTCTATAACTGCTTCATTAGCATGGCTTAAGGAAATCAAGAAAAGGGTGAAGAAATGTAGTACAACAGAATCCAGAAAGGTTATTCTAATTAACAGATATAAAGGAGGAACTGAAATACATGTTTATAGATTTTGTAGAAAACAACTTATTTTTCACCATCTGTTTCTATTTAGAGCTTGAAATTGGATCTCCAAAATGGCTGTGCAAGGCTAGGTTGAGGAGTCCGGATGCAAGAACTTCACAACTATCCCTAGATATTTGCTATACAGATTTCTGGTAGTTTCTCAAATGTGCTTTATCCAGATAGAAACAACTTTCTGCAGAATAGTTAGCTGCAGAATTTACAACCTGTAGCATATGCATACACTACAGGGGAAAAAAAGTTCTTAAGGTTTTACAAATGCTTTTTAGCTTAATATAAACAAGTCTTCTTGCTCTAGTATTTTCCTACCAAATGTTACTCTAGTTTCTTTTAAAAGAGTCAGAACTCTGAGGATGGTAACATAATTTAAGAAGCAAACATCACTTCTTCTTTGGAAACATAAAAATACTTATTTTAATTTGAACATGACAACATTGCCACTAATTCTAGTTTAAATGAAATTTTGTCCTGCAAAAATGCCAAGAAAAGCAGGGCAGGGTGGCATCGATTCCACTCATTAACTAAAAGTGAAGAAGGCAGAAGAATAGTCACCATAACTACAGAATAGCTCTTAAAATCTTGGTGGTGGCAAAAAAGGACAGAAAATGCTCCTGGAAATTCTAAATTCCTAGGTCTGCCTTGCTAGAATTCCTTAAGAAGCTAACAGAGAAGTTAGAAGGTTATAAGAATTTCAGAAAATTGACTCCAACTGAGAGGACTTACTCCTAACTCCTCCAAAGCATTTTCAAGATCCTAATACTCTATGGATCCAAGTACTTGATGGGCAGTTTCTGTGCCGTCTCTGCCCTATCCCCATCAGTTTGCTATGGTGTATGGGAATGTCCTGAGAATGATTTCAGCTGTTTCTTATACAGATGCCTGCCACGTGTTCTCTTGTCTTCTCTGTTTTTTTCTTGCGAACTGTTAAAGCTGCATGCAATTTTTGTTTTCATGTATTGAAATAAAGTTTCCAAGTGCTAAATGAAAATGTTGTAACTCAATGAAATAAAGGCTACAGCTGAAGGAAGAAAGCCTGTTTATTGTCCTTGGTGACATTTTTTGTTGCTATCCTGACTCGTTTATTTCTCCTGGAGGAGAGAGTGAATACAGCAGAGGACAGCAGTGACTCAGCATGTTATCTCTCATCTGTGTCTGTTGTTCTAATCGAAACCATCTCTTTAAGAAATAATATTGATAAATGTGTACTTAAAGCCAAAGATACCAATTTAAACATTTAATGTAAATTTGTCGGGGGGGGGGCAGAAACTCTGTATCTGATAGATACCAGCCTAATTACAACAAACAGTAATCTTCTGATGTACAAGTTTAAAGGTAGCCACATCTTCATAGTCTTATGAACACCACATGTTGATAATGCACATTTTGGTGATATCCTCCTCCCTTCATAAAAGGGTCACCTTCCCGGTTCATTATTTTTGTTATTGTTCCCATATCTCTTGCAGAAAACTCATCTCACATGTATACATACCCATTGCTCTGTCTTAGGCTTCACATTTAATTAGCTGCCAATTTCTGTTGATTATTTTTCCAAACTTCTCTCTCTCCAATAATAAACATCTCTGGTACCCCTAAATTCTCCTGCCTCATTGCTTCCTATCTAGATAAACTCACTATATTTCTAATCAGCTTTCCTCTTCTTCAAATAACTCCAGAAGCCTTCTGATGGGTAAGCCCCTTTTTTATTTTAGGTAGTGTTCTCCATGCTACCTGTCCCAGGCATGGGGACTTTATACTCCTTTCCAATGCTGCCACTGTCTGCTCTATTTCTGAGGGATCCTCCCCTTCCAATAGTCTCCAGAGTAGGAAGCAATTTTCACAGCTTCTATTTACTATTAATAGTTATCCCCTTGGAGGCCAAGTTTTCCATGGTTGTGGGACTAGTTTGAGGCCATAATTTCATAGGAATGTGTATCAGGTGTCCTGGCTCCATCCTCTGGAATGGGGGTGTGTGGAGAGTCGGAATGAAGTCATTCTACTAACCAGACTCATGATCAATTTTTCAGCAATGGGGCTTGAATGTGTCCAAAACTTCCACCCATGCTCCAGTGATCTTTAATCCCAAATCTGACCCCAGTCCCACAACTGCATTCCTGTATCTAACCCTAGTTGCTGAGCACTGGGTCTCCAAGACTGTAGTCCTGCTCTAGTGCCAGCCTACCTAGATGCAGCCCTAATACTTTCTGGTTCTTGTCACCTCTGGGATGAATCTTCTCCTTCGACTCTACAGTCACTGGCAGGAATCCTGTTGTGAATAGACAGACCTACTAGACCTGCCATCCAAGTCCTCTGCCTTGCACCTCAGCCCCCGCGGTCTTGGAGCCCCAATCTATACATGGATCTAGACCCCTTCCTGCTGCTAGAACTTGCCTAGATCAGACTGAGCTTGTTATCTCAGGAAGCTGTGTTTTGGGGTCCTGGGCTGTCCCCTGAAGCTAGGTCATGGCCCCTCTGGCCTGGACAGTGGCAGATTTAGCAGGAAGCCATGAAGCTTCCTTCCAGGCCCATCATATGCACTGCCCCTTCCAATGCCTTTTATCTCATTGTATATTTACATTTTTTAATGGGCTTTAGTAGGCTGGATTTGGGTTGGGGAGGAGAAACCTAAATGACTTATAAGAAAAAGTGGCAAAGCCTATAGGAAACAAACAGGACAAAGATGCATCTTAGCCTGAGTTTGGAGCTGCAGCTCAGGCAAGAAGTGGACCAGCCAGGGATGGAATTGCGGTGGGGGTTGGAGGGTGTTCGGAGAATGAGAGAAACACAGGTTTGACAAGCTCTCCACACACCCCTGAGCTGTGCATGGGGGTGAGTACCCAAGACAGCACCACAGAGAGTTAAATCTAAGAACTGAGAACTGGCTGAGCTTCCACTCTGCTCTCCACCCACACACACATCAGTGGCCCAAGGGCTGAAGTTTTGCAGGCTCCTGGGAAAACAGGATAAAACATCAAAACAAGAATTAAAACCTAAGAAGAACCATCTGTTGCTAAATACTTCATCAAGACAGTTGCGAGGAGGGCAGGGGAAATAGATTCTGCAGTTTAAGTTCAGGCAAGTCACTTTTTAAAACTCAGAAAAATAAATCAGAATCCGTATTTGTTATACTATATTATCTAAATGCTATTGTCCGAAGGAAAGTTAAGTATGTTTTTATATCAGTTCTGCCAGGAATGCAGCAATGGTGATACCAAACAAAACAAAAACCTTCAGCCACAGATGACTACCACCTGCATTCCCATTGCAGCATCAATTATTCTCAAATATCCACCTTCTCCAAATAGCCGTTCTGCCATTTTCTCAGGGCATCTGTCCTTCCAGATGATTACAGAATTCAAAAGCTCACAGTGGATGTGCTAAAATTGAGAAGTCATACTCTAAGAACGGTAATCACTCCTGTATTAGTGTGCAATTGTCTAGGTACCTGACGACCCATCCATGAAGTTCACAGAAGAACCACTAGGTGGCCACACAGCTAACGAAATTGCATTTTAGCTGGAAAACTGCTGGATGTTTCTCTCCCTTTTCCAGAGAGCCTTCAAAGTCATGACTTTAGATACATGTACTAAGAAATTTGATAAACTTCATTCTTGATTATTAAAGATGGAAATCCGAGTGCATTTTGCCAGACACTACTTTCTTTTCTGCCAGAGTTGTGGATAGAAGTAAATGGGATCCATACCCCTAAACAAAAGGGAAGCTGGGTTGACAGCTGGATTTCGAATAAAAGTTTTAAATTTGCAAGATAAATCCTCCTTACTCCCAGTAATGAAGTCCAATCCTGTTGATGTTGGTGTATCCATAGACCCAAATAACCCAGTGTCCCCCAAACTATCATGGGTATGTGTCTAGTTTTTGTTTTTTAATTATATCTTATCTATTCATTTATTTATTTTCTGAAGGCCAGCAAATTAACTCTGCTTACTGCTGCCATGGAAACCTGAAGAGCTGCCCCTTCCCCAGGGATGTGTAATGGACAATAAATGTCAGGAGAAGCTGGCGCCTGTGTTACTTACCTGCCTGTGTGGTGGACTGTTGATGACAATTGATGTCCTCTGCTAATCATCGCCAAGGAGTGAGAAATATTGATTAGATTCCTGGGCCTATTGGAAGCTTCCTGATCACTTTCTAACTGAAGGTCAGGCTTTTAGGAAACTCAAGAGCCGTTATTGGGAAGTAAGTGTCTCGTGGTTTGACAGAATCCATTAACGTCCTTCTCCAGGAAAAGCTATAACCATGAGCTACATATAATGGATATTGATTGCAAAGACAAGAAGATACATATAACTTTAAACCTCAGGGGTCTCCAGGGACAAAAGATATAGAAAAGGAGGTCTTCAGGATCACAGGATTTCTAGCTATGAAGAAATTGTGTCAGAGCTGTCTTTAGAGAATCTTAGACAAGTGAATTCCAAAGCCAGAGTCTCTTGCTCAAGGATACCAACAATTTGCTACAACAACGAGAACAAGCATAGCATTTATTGAATGCATGTCATTTGGCAGACAGTATTCCAAGCATGTCATATGTATTGTTTCATTTAACTTAAAACAACAATGAGTTCACTACTATTATCATCTGGATTCAGTCAAAAGGCCAAGGATCCAGAAGGCTATACATGTGGCCCCAAGGCTGCAGGTTCCCCACCCCTCCCCAAACCTCATGTTGTAATTTCACCCTCAACATTGGAGGTGGAGCCTAGTGGGAGATATTTGGGCCATGGGGCCAGATCCCTCATGAATGGGTTGGTGCCAAGTTTGCAGTAATGAGTAAATTCTAGCTCTATTAGTTGCCTCAAGAGCTAGTTGTTTAAAAGAGCCTGACACCTCCCCTATCACCCTCTCATGCTTCCTCTTTCACCATATGGTCTCTGCACATGTGGCTCCATCTCACTTTTTTCCATGAGTGGAAGCAGCCTGAGGCCCTCACCAGAAGCAGATGCTGGTGCCGTGCTTCTTATACAGCCTGCAGAACTGTGAGCCAAATAAACCTCCTTTCTTTATGAATTACCCAGCCTTGCGTATTTCTTGAGAGCAACACTAGATGGACTAAGACATCTCACATTATCAGCATCAGCCTCTTGC